AGCTGCAGCACCGCAGCATTCCCCCCGACAGCTCGGAGGAGGCGGAGGATGACATGTGGAGGGCTCGCGAGGATGCCCGCTGCATCTGGGAGCGGGCGGTGCCAGTCTGGGATCTGCTTGATGCAGCTGAGACCAACGAAACCAAGGCCATGTTCGGTATCAACCGGGTGACAGATGCCACTCTGAAACGCTTTGGGGTGCGTTATCTGAGGACTGCAAAGTCCCTTGTCTTCCCCTGGTTCAGCCCCCGCGATGCCACTCTGAAGGGCATGAAGCTCTTGAGAGTGGAGAAGAAGGGGGATACGATAGCTTACGTGGAAGAGACTTTACCCCGCTTCGATTCCTATCACAATCTCTTTGGTCTGCCCCTGATCAGCCGCCGAGACACAGAGCTGGTCTTAACTGGGTGGGAGCTGGATGCCCTGGCCCTGCACCAAGCCACAGGGGTGGCCAGCCTGGCCCTGCCACGGGGGTCCACCTTCTTACCCCCTGCCCTCCTCCCCTACCTGGAGCAGTTCAAGCGCATCACGCTGTGGCTGGGTGAGGACCTGCGCTCCTGGGAAGCTGCCAAGCTCTTTGCCCGCAAGCTGAGCCTCAAGCGCTGCTCTTTGGTGCGCCCTGGCAACCTGCAGCCCCGGCCCTTGGAGGCTCTGAACCAGGGCCTGAACCTCACCAAGATCCTGCGTGCTGCCCTGCCAGCCAGCCACAAATCCATTGTGTCCTTCCGGCAGCTGCGTGAAGAGGTGTTTGGGGAGCTGGTCAACAGCGAGCAGGTGGCTGGTATCAAGTGGGCGCGCTTCCCTGAGCTCAACAAGCTCCTCAAAGGGCACCGCAGAGGGGAGCTCACTGTCTTCACAGGTGATGGGCAAACTGCTGATGGATGGGGAGAGCAGAGGGCTCTTCAGTGCTTCACCTCTTGGGGGTGATACCTTGCTAGTCTTCCAGGTCTCTTTCTGCGCATGGCTTTGGCTGAGTCCATCCTGGATGGAGTGGGGCTGGATGCACCAGTGTGGCGATGGGCTCCCTGCCTGAGGCAGCACTGGAAATCCTGGGGTGTCCCTCACCCCTGCTCCCACCTGCCACCTCCTCTGTGCCAGCCCTTCCCCACACCCCACAGGGACCCACTGGCTGCTGCAGACAACGTGTGTGTGTCCAGAGATGCAGCCAAGAATGAGATGCTGCTTGTATATGGTGGGAGTGCTGTGGACGGGCTGCTCTTATCCCGCTCCCTGGCACTTCCACCTCTGAACAACCCTCCAGTGCATTCAGGATGGGTCACATCGTCTACCCCAGCTAATTCCTCCTGTTGTCCTTGCACCAGGCCCGACGGGCAGTGGGAAGACGACCTTTATCAGTGAGTACGCACTGGACCTGTGCATGCAGGGGGTATGCACGCTGTGGGGCAGCTTTGAGATCAGCAACATCCGCCTGGCCAAGATCATGCTGACACAGTTTGCCACCCAGCGCCTGGACGACAAGCTGGAGCTGTATGATGAGTGGGCCGATCGCTTTGAGGACCTCCCGCTCTACTTCATGACTTTCCATGGCCAGCAGAACATCAAGTATGGTTCCACACCTTCATCCCCAGTAGCATGTACCCCTCACAGCATGTGCTGTGGGGAGCTGGGGCTCTTTCTCTGCAGGTTTGGGGCTGGCAGGAGGCATGTTGTGGTTGTTCAAGTTCCAGGACTGGCGTGTGGGGACTCTCCCAGCATTCCTCTGGGGTGGGGGTGAAGGGAGGAGACCTGTCTTTTGCTAGGTGGCTGCTCTCAAATCAGCCTCTGTCCCTGGCAGGATGTGTGCCCCACACACCCTGTTCACTGGCAGTGCTTGATTGCTGAGGAGGAAGGACAGGCACCTCCGGCTGCTTTTATTCACCAGGTGCTGTGGCACCTGCACGCATCCCCTACACCCTGAGGGTCCCTGCAGGTTGGGGGGATCACAGGGTGGTGGGTAGGGGCTGGGTGGGCAGCAGCTCTGTCCTGATCCTGCTGTCCTCACCTGTGAGTGAGGGATGGGGCTGTGCCTGTCCTGAGATGGAGGAGATGTGGAGGTGGAATGTGCCAGGAGTCAGCTCTGCCTCTCCCCACCTCTGTGCCTGCCTCCACTGATTCCTGCGGCTGATCCCAGTCTCCCCCTGCCAGGGCTGTGATTGACACCATGCAACATGCTGTCTACATGTACGACATCACTCACGTGGTCGTCGACAACCTCCAGTTCATGATGGGACATGAGCACCTCTCTGTGGACAGGTAACCCTTCTCCAAGCTGCCCCCTCCTTCTTTTGCCACTGTCATTGCTGGAGCTGGCCCTGCTGTGTGCCAGAACAGGGCTGGGGACCCACGTGGGGTGTCCCCTTTAGTCCTTTCCTTGAAGGGCAATCACTGCCCTGGGGAGGAGGAGGTGGGAAAGGGTGAGCCAGTTACTTGCAATCCCTGTTGTGCCCCATCCCTTTTTCCACATGGGCCCAGGTACCTCACAGAGAGTGAGCCCAGACCCCTGGATGCTTCCTGCTGGGAACTGGACCTGGTAGCACCTCACCGTCCCCTGGCACTGAGCAGTACCAGCCCCTGACCCTGTTCTCACTGCTATGGCAGGCTTGCTGCGCAGGACTACATCATTGGTGCCTTCCGCAAGTTCGCCACAGACAATACCTGTCACATCACACTGGTCATCCATCCCCGCAAGGAGGATGACGAGAAGGAGCTGCAGACAGCTTCCATCTTTGGCTCTGCCAAGGTGAGCTGGGCTGGGGTGGTCCTTCCTGTTCCTCAGGCACAGTGTGTTCCTAGGAAGCCACTGGGATACTTTGGGCAGCCTGCTCCCACCAGCACCATGGGTCATCGCTAGGGAACCAAAAGGTGCTGTGAGGTGCAGGATGTCCCCAGGACTCCTTTCACCTGCTGCACGTGTGTGGAGTCTCAATTTGGCCAGAGAGATGCAGGCAGAGAGGAAATCCTTTGCCAGCTAAAGCTCTGTTGAGGCTTTAGGTGCAGTTAATTAATGCTCATTGACTGTGAGTGGGATGTGGTAGGACACAATTAAAGAAGGAGCCAGGGAGGGTGGAGGAATTGGCTCTCTGAGTGTGCCAGTCTCTGCTGGGATGCTGGATGACTTCTGCAGGCAGGAGGTGCACTGAGTGTGCACAGTCTTCCTGTGCTCCCTTGTTGGCCAGGGTGTGCTGCTCAAGCTTGTCTGCCCAGCAGGTCACTGAGGTGTCCCCGGGGAAGACAAGGGGTTGGTGTTGGGGACGTGCTGGGGATGCTCAGTAGCAGGGCTTGAAGGAGCCCCGTGACTCTGGCTGCATCCCCAGCAACCTCCTGGAAATGGTTTCCTTCCCACAGGCCAGCCAGGAGGCCGACAACGTCCTCATCCTGCAGGACCGTAAGCTGGTGACGGGGCCAGGGAAGCGCTACCTGCAGGTGTCCAAGAACCGCTTTGATGGGGACGTGGGTGTCTTCCCCCTGGAGTTCAGCAAGGCCTCGCTCACCTTCTCCAGCAAAACCAAGGCCAAGCTCAAGAAGATGAAGGAGGAGAAGGCGCCATTAGCTGCAAAGGCGTCTGTAGCTAAGAAAGCTCCAGAGGGAAGCTCGGGGGCCTCCAAGAAGCTGTGAGCCCATCAGGTCTCTTCCTCAGCCTGTCAAAAAGAGGGAGAACTGGTGCTAGGAGCATGGGGCTGGTGTACACCAGCTGCCCTCCCCAGGCAGTAGCAGCCATGCACCGCTGTAGCCCTTTCTTCTGCAAGAACAAGCCTCTTGACCACCACCATGGTGTCTATGAGACATGGGGCCACCATGAAAGGAAGATTGGGCTCATCCCAGAGAAGAGCAGCCAGGCAAGGGTGCTTTGGCAAACACTGGCTGCACTGTACTGGTGCTGAGTGTTGGGAGCATGGTGGGGAGTGGAGGCAGCTCGGGCTGGGTAGAGGGGGGATCCCCAGACCTGGGACTGTAATGGAGCTGAAATCATGGACTGTCACTGTTTGGGGGGAATTTGCAGGGGGACTGTAGATGGACATATGGCTGGGTCCCCTGTCACAGGTGGGGTTCTGTGGGATGGATCCTGGCTGGGATGGAGTCAGTGAGGGGAAGATAATGGATGGAAGTGTGGGAGGTTGTGTGGCTGTGCTCTCCATGGGATGTGGTAGGTGCCGGACCCCTGGGGTATCACTTGTGGCAGCTGGCAGGCATCGCTGAGGGCTCTGCCCGCAACCCAGCTCCCTTTGCTCAGGGTCTCCCCCAGCCCTTCTCTCCAGGGGTATCACCAGCAGTAAAACCTCAGGGGGAGCAGCCCTGCCTCCCTCTGCTGAGCTGGGAGGTGGACATCCCTGTGCCCTTGGGGCTCTGTGCAGCAAATACTGTGACCTGGCCAGCCCTTGCTGTGGTAGAACAAGTCCACAGCCAGATCTTGGTCTAATCCCTTTGGGTTTTTTGCCCTTTCTAGTTTTAATAAAGCATAAAGGTGACTGATGTTCCTGTGCTGCTGTCCCTGTGACCAGGGGACCCTAGGGCTGGGGTGGGGTCACTCTAGAGGCTGGCGCTGC